TTCACAGAGTTATGTAGCCATCACCACTGCTAATCACTGCAGAAGGAACCCCTGTATTGTTATCCGGCACCCCTCTTTTGTTCCCTGCAGACCCTGGTGGCACAGTATGCTTTCCAAGTGTGTGGATTTTGCTTCCTCAGCATTCCATGCAAGTGGACGTGTATAGCATTTGTGAGTAGCCGCTTCACACAGCGTTCTGTGTCAGAGGTCCATGCATGTTGTTATATCTATTAGCTCCTCTCTCATGGTTCATTGATGAGTGACATTTCATGATAAGGATGTGCCAGCTCATTTTAAAATTTTTCTTTGAGACTTTCATACCCAAATTCCCTGTATTTACATCACATCTACCCCTTTCACTCCAACTCCTCCCATCCCCCATCTTCTCCTCTCAAGTTCATGTCCTCTACTTCTGTAATTATTATTATTTTTAATACACACCATACGTACAACCTACTGAGTCCAGTTAGTGTTGTCTGTATGTACATGGGTTTAAGGCTGACCACTTAGGCTTGGGCAACCTATCAGGGGGTCATCCCTGAAGGAAAAGGACTCTCCCTCAGTAGCCATGGAATGCTTGTAGTCCTTCAACTTAGGGGTGGGGCCTTGTGAACCTTTTTCTGTCATGTGCAGAAGACATTGTCTTGCAGCAATTCTGGTCCTCTGGCTCTTAAATCTTTCCACCCACTCTTTCCCAGTGTTCCCTGAGCCTTCAGGGTAGGGGTTGTGTTACTGATGCCCTGTTTGGGGTTGGACACACCGTTGTCACTTCTTTTCTGCACTTTGACTAGTTGTGACTCTGTAATAGCCTTTGTCTGTTGCAAAAAGAAACTTCTTTTTGTTATTATTCTGTCTTTTTGAGATAGGGTTTCCCCATAGCCCCAGCTTTCCTGGAACTCACTATGGGAGACCAGGCTGGCCTCAGTCTCTCAGAGATCCGCCTGCCTCTGCCTCCCAAGTGGTGGGGTTAAAGGTGAGTGCACCACACCCAGCTGAAAAGAAGCTTCTTTGATGAGGAGTGAGGACTTGCCTTATCTGTGGTACAGGGATACTTACTTAGAACGCAGTTGGATACTATATCAGTTTTGCAAAATGTTAGCAGTAGGTTTTCTTCTAGGGTCTATGACCGCTCCAGCCATGGCTTCTTGGCTAGGTTTACAGTGCAAGGCATGAGTTACTGCCTGTCGAGTGGGCCTCAAGTCCAATCAGATAGCTGTTGGTTACCTTCAAGATACTAGTGTCACTTTTATACCACTGGGCATATTGTACAAGGCCAGTTGTTATTGTAGTTGTATTTTAGAGGATTTACAGCTGGGTAAGACTGTTGATAACTTTCCCAGCAGCTTGTATAGCACCTTCTGACACCACGAGAGCTAAGCCTCAGGGAGAAGTGTCTAAGTCAGCACCAGCTCGATTTCTCCGAGGCCTGTGATTCAAGTGTGTGATGTTTTCCACAATAGAGTCTTAGCCTTGATTTCTGGCAGGTGACCAAGAGCATCAGCAATAGTTTGTGTCATTTGGGTGTCTCCTGGACCCTCCTGACCAACAACTCAAAGGGAGGTGTCCCTTGCATAGCACCAGGCTTTTTATTAGATGGTCCATAGCTTCTAGGGGGAGTATTATCACTCTATTTGGAATAACTCCAAATAAACTGTATATATTATATGTGTGTTTGTACATATATATTATATATATTTTTAAGAAAACTTATACAATAATAGGATTCCATATGGGTTTTAAAAACATCCTTAGTGTCATTTAACCCTCCCTTCCCCTACCTCTGTGTTACCCCTCACTCCTTCATCAGTCAAGTCTCTCCCACCCTGTTTTCCTCCTTTCCCCTTCGTAGCACCTGTGCCCTACTAGTCCCCTCTTAGAGCTCTCTCTCCCCTCCCTGACTGGTCTACTTTCCTTGTTTCTAGAGTTAGTCCACATTATTACACAATTAAACCTGAAGAATCAGAGCTAGGATCCATAAATAAGAGAGACCATGTGGCTTTCATCTTCGTCGGCCTGGGTTACCTCACTCAGTACACTGCTTTCCAGTGCCATCCATCCACCTGCAGATTTCACTTCTCATTGCAGCTGAACAGAATTCCGTTGTGTACATGTACCACATTTTCACTGTCCATTCATCAGTTGATAGACATCTAGGCTGTTTCATTTTCTGATTTCTGTGAATAGAGCATCAGTGAACAGGTGAGCAAGTATCTCTGCAGGAGTGCTGTAGCTGGGTCAGAGATCGATGTTTACCTTTATGAGGGTTCTCCACACTGATTTCCATAGTGGCTGTACGAACAGTGAATGAGGTTCCCCTTTTCCACAGCCACACCAACATTTATTTCATCTGTTTTCTTAATCTTAGCTATTCGGACTGGGGTAAGATGAAATCTCAAAGAGGGTTTAATGGGTATTTCCATGATTATTAAGGATGTTAAACACTTTTAGAGATATTTCCTAGCCATTTTCATTTCTTCTTTTGATAACTCTCTATTTAGATCTATAGCTCAGTTTTTGCTCTTATCATTTGTTTTCTTGATTCTTTGCTTTTTGAGTTCTTTGTATAGTCTGGATAGTAATCCTTTACTGGATATATAGCTAGCAAAGATTCTCTCCCATTCTATGGGATTCCTGTCTGCTCAATTCTTTATTTCCTTTATGGCACAAGCTTTTTGGTTTTATGAGGTCTCATTTGTTGACATTAATTCCTGTGAGAATGGAGACCTGTTCAGAAAGTCCTTTCCTACGCCTATGTCTTGTAGGGCACTCCTTAGGGTTTCCCCCTTCTATCAGTTTCAGTGTTTCAGACCTCACATTAAGGTCTCTGATCCATTTGGAATAGATTTTTGTGCAAGGTGATAGATAAGGGTCTAATTCCATTCTTCTACATGTGGACATCCAATTTTCCCAGCACTATTTGTTGGAGATTCTATCTTTCCACCAGTGTGACTTTTGACATCTTTCCCAAATATCAGGTGGCTGTAATTGTATGTACTTAGTGCCACATTTTATCTGTTCCTCAGTTGGTGGACATTTTGTGTTGTTTCTATTTTTTAACCGATATAAATGATGATGCTGTGAACATTCATGTGTAAGTTTTTCTGTGGACATGTTTTTTTTTCTCTTAATTATATATTTCAGAGTGAAACTGATGGGTCATATAGTAACTATTTTTACCATTTTAAAAATATTTGATTACATTTATTTTGTGAAGGGGCATGCACATACCATGGTGTGCATGTGGCAATCAGAAAATAGCTTATGAGAATCAGGTCCTCTACCATGTAGGTCCTGAGCATTGAATCAGGTCAAGTGACCTGGTTGTAAGCATCTTTCCACTGAGCCACCTTGCCGACCTTATGTTTAACATTTTGAGTGGCTACCAAATTATTTTCCATAGCTTTCACATGATTTTATGTTCTTACTAGCAGAACATGGTAGTTCATATTTCTCCATGTTCTTGTCAATACTTGTCACCATCTTACTGGGGGATGAAGTAGTGTCTTGCGATTCTTATTTGCATTTCTTTGATGACTAGTGATAATGAACATCCTTTTAAATACTTGTTGGAAATTTGAATGACTCCTTTGGCCAAATATGTTTTCAAATCCTTTATAAAGCTTTTATGAAAGTCCACAATATAACCACTTAATTCATTGCTATTTATTCATTTATAATTTATATTTTATGTCTATGAGAGTTTTGCCTGTGCGTAAGTGCACCTGTGCATGCAATGCCGACAGAGGTCAGAAGAGGGTGTTGGATCCCCTGGAACTAAAGTTATGGATGGTTGTTAGCCACCATGTGGTTGCTGGGAACCCTACCCAGGTCCTTTGCAAGAGTTCTAAACTTTGGAATCATCTCTCCAGACCCATTCAAAAGGCTTTAAAAAACGCTTGATTTTATGAGACTATGCCTTCAATAAAAGTTATTGAGCCTCTATAATAGCACATTGACTGCCTAAAAATAAAACAATTCTATGAAATCACCCTTATAAGCACCCCAATCTCTCAACTGAAATGGTTTCAGGCTATTATTTTTCCCAGTTGATTTTTGTTTCTTGAAATACAGTTATTTGGAGAGCAGCTCATGATATGAAAGACCTATAAAGGCTTGACTATTAAATGCCTTTTTTTCTGATTTAGTTTGAGGGCAGAGAGAGTTTTACCTTATAGTCAAATAAATGTGATGTTCAAAAATGGATCAATGAGTGTGAGTTTGAAGGAAGGTAGAATAGATGGTATGATGGGTGGGTGCACAGGTGGATAGAGGGAGAGACGGGTGGGTAGGTAGATAGGGAAATGAGATGGATGGATAGATGAATGGATGGGTGAATGGATAAGTGGATGAATGGATAGGTGGACAGATGGAGAGATAGAAACATGAGTAGATGAATAAAAGAGGGATGGGTGGACTAATGGACTAATGAATGAATCAACAAGAGATGGAATGCAAGCCAGTCAACTGGTCAACCAAGTATTCAGTCTTTCCAATATTACTCAGCATCTTCTAATTCCCACTCAGAAAACTGGCATTGGTGTTTAGTTTACATTTCACAGAGCTATATAAAAATTGTTTAAGAACAGGTTTGTAATTACAGGTTGGAAACAAGACACTACACTTCCTGTTGTTTGGAATATCTTTTTCATATTCTTTTAAAATAGGAGAACCTGCTTGGTTCCAGGATGTAGTTGAGAAGTTCAGCGACAGTGACATATTTCCAGATTCTGTGTCACCAGAGCAAGCCCTTTAGGGATGGGAAACAGTTCAAGGCATCTCATGTTTCTCCCTGTTCTGGCCCTTCCACCCGTGTGAGGATTTCTGTGTCACTGCTATTGTTTAGGTCATTTCCTTTCTCTGGTGTTTGCATGAGACAGGCTGGCCATGCCAGAGACCACACTCCTATGATTCACCACCAGCTTCCACAGACAAGAAAACATGTGTGAAGCTAGCAAATGGAATTGTAGAGTTTGGGGTAAGAGTACAGGAAGAAAAGAGGAAGTGTATCAGGCAAGAAGATAAGAAAGGAACCTGTGGTCAGACACATGAAGAAGTGACAGACTCAGGCCAGAGCTGCAGAGATGGACTTTTAAAGGCTCAGACCCTGGAGAGGGAAGATGGAACCGATGATCTTGCTCTTTGGAAAAAACCTTCATGGCAGCAACATGAAGGGCAAGTTCTTCTAAGATTCACTTGGGAGGGTGTGTGGTGGGAGTTGGGTTCTGGGAGCAGGATTTAGTAAAGAGCACTGAGGATGGGACAGGCTTCTCTCCTCTCCTCTCCTCTCCTCTCCTCTCCTCTCCTCCCTCCCCTCTCCTCCCCCCTCTGCTGTCCTGTCCTCTACTGTCCTGTTCTTTCCTTCCCTTGGTTCCCCCTCCCCCTTCCCTTCTTTCTCTTCCCGTCTCTTTTTTCACAGGACAGTTTCACGTAGTTCAGGCTGGTCTTGAACTCACTATGAAGCCAAGGATGACCCTGAATTCCAGATCCTCCTGTCTTTATATTTGGATTGCTGGAACTATAGGTATAAACCACAACCCCAGTTTTTGTAGTGATGGGAACTGAACCTAGGACCAGGGTTCTAAGCATGCTAGGCAAGCAGTCTATACTGACTGGGCCCCAACCCTAGCCCCAGCCCTGACACCTTCCTTTGCCAATGGTGATCAGTGAGTTTGGAATTATAATTTCAGATCTGTATCAGTGAAGGAAGGCTCTAGGATCCTTTCATAGGATCTTAACCTACTTCTAGATGGTCTCCCAGTGGGCTCCAGTGACAGCAACAGCTGGACCTTTCCTCTGTGCGTGTCATGACAGCATCTCAGCCTGTCCTCCAGGGGAGTGCTTCACTTGGCTTCAAACAGCTGCAAGGAAAGCTGAATTGGGAGAGTGTAGGGTTGTTGTCTTTGACATTGTGACTACAAAGAGGAAATCTACATCACAGTTGGTCCTCTGAATCCATGGGTTCCCTATCCCCAATCCAACCAACCATAGTTGTAGCTGAGCCTGATAGCGACACCAGTACTGAACATATATAGCTTTTGTTTTGTTGTCTCTATTCCTTAGACAATACAGTTTAATGACCAATTTTATAGCACACTGTATTGAGTATTATAAGTAGTGTATATATGACTTAAACTATGTAAGAGGATGCATGTAGATATTCATATGTGCAGATACTATGCTATTTTATATAAGGGACTTGAGCATCCGTGGGTTTTGTTATATGTTGGGGTCTGGGAACCAATCTAGGTATTGTAGATAATGAGAGAGAACTGTATTTGCTATGAGGGTGTGGCTGCATTTGCTGTGAAGAATGACTTGCCATGGCCAGGTGCTCTGCCAAGCACCAGGGGTATAGACGTGAGCAGGAAGATGAACTAGCAGTGCATGCAGTCCCACGATCACCACATGCTGTACCAGAGGCCAGTGCAAATACCCCTGAGGCTTGAGGGCCAGAGCTACCTGTTACTGAGGGGAGGTTGAAAAGGCGTCATGGGATGGATAGGATCAATCAAGCAGGCAAAGAGTGGTAAAGAAGACACTGAAGTCTGGCTGGTTCAGAAAACTGAATAGCTCAGATATCTGGATCATGCAGAACCACGCAATGCAAACGGGACGCAGAGAGGCCCTTCATCCCAGTAGCTTGGTGTTCTTGTTCTCAAGCAGGGGTGGATGGGATGGATATATGGGAACAGAACATTCAGCTATAGGGGTTTTGAAGTTGGGAAGGGAGTCAGCTTTTTGTTTTGGATAGGAGGATTCTGGCCCCTGGCCAGAGGTGCTCTAGTGCCAAGCACAGAGACACGGCTGGGAGATTTGCAGACAAGCATTCTGGGGCGTGGCCAAGAGCTATGGGCCACGGTGTGCTAATGTACAGCAGAGCACTGTGTAAACCTCCCAGGGACACAGGGCTCAGTGCCCACTACCCATGTGGGCATCGTGTCACAACTGCCCACACTGCTGCCTGTCAGAGAAAGTGGTGGTGTGGGCTGGCCTCCCCCAGGCTACCCAGGAAGAGCCAAGCACTTCCTGCTTTCTTCCCCTATAGGAGTATAGGTTGAGAGGGAAGGGACAGAGGGAATAAGAGGGCTTGGCCAGGTAAACAAGAAGCAGCCTGCCTCTAGTGGGAGGTGCAGAGGGTGAGGCAGGGCTTATTCTGCAGGAGTGGGCAACCCACAAAAAAACATACCCTGGAAAGCAGCTGTGGCCAGGCGTGTTTTTGCCCCACAGTTGGGATAGGTGATAACACAGGATCCTGGGAGGATCTGTGATATCCATGACAAGAAGACCCCAGTGGAGAGAAAGAAGACCCCAGTGGAGAGAATAGACTGAAGACCGACAGAGGCTCACATCCCTCCTTCCCCCAGAGGCTCCTCCCAGAGCACTTGGCTGTTCCATCCAGTTATGCCTGGCACATGTTTTCTTGAGATAAAATTATTTTTCACAAGTACATGCTTTGCTAAATGGAGCGATGGGAAGGCAGAGGCCTTGTTTTGTGCCCTCTGTCTCCCAATCCCAATCCAGCAAATGTCAGTATTCACAGTTTGTACTCGGAAAACATTTGGTCAGATCGTGAGAGGTTTTAGAGAAAAGATCTGCAGGGGAAGTGCCGGTTCAGAGCTGGTCTGAAGGACCCTTGGGGATGAGAGTTAGCAGAGGGACTCAGATTCAAACAAGGTACAGGGGGTTTGCAGAGATGGCTTAGCAGTTAAGAGCTGCTCTTACAGAGAATCTGGGTTTGGTTCCCAGCACCCACAACATGGCAACTCATAACTGCTTGTAACTCCAGTTCCAGGGGATGCAACACTCTCTTCTGGCTTCCAAGGACACCAAGCATATACATAGAGTACATATATGCATTCATACACATAAAACAAAAAAGAAGATGCACAGAACTTCATTGGCTGCAAGAGACCAGTACACAGAGGGTCCCCTGACCCAGGGATATGGTCGCTTTGATGGGGAACAGCCCTGAGCAAAGCATGTAGAACCCCAGGGAGCTGATGGCAGCTGGGGGTCATCCTGTTGACCATTCAGTGACATGAATCCCCCAGTGTAGCTGGAGTTGTGCTTCCTAAGGCCTCAGGCTCCCCTGAAAGCTCTCTGAAGCTTGGGTCCCTGGCTCCAGCCCCACTATTTTTGCAGCTTATCTGGGACAGGGCCTGAGCATTGTACTTCTGACAAAACCAGGGGCCACACTTTGAGAGCTTAGAGTGAGGGTCCCTGCAGAGCAGTCCTTTAAATAGCCCTTCAGCTCTGCTCCCTAGGGGTATTAGAACCTTTCACCCATGGAGCTTCTGGAACATTCTTGTGCCTGTCTGCCCAGGAGGCCATTGGTTTGGCTTGACTTTGTTCTTAGTGCTCTAGAAATGGTTCTGATGGACCCTGCTTGAAGCAGCTGCTATGTCTCCATGGGCTCTGCCATCAAGCTACACCTTCCATCTGCTCATGGCACATTGACCACTGGGCCAGATTCGCTGGTCTTTGCCTTGGTCTGTCACATTGTCTCTGACAGGACAACCTCTCCAGGGCCTTCTGATTTCCACCAGTCTCCCGAATGTGTTCATCATGGTACCCTATTTGTCCCACAGGCCTCTCTTGCCTTATCATTACCTTCATTGTGTGTACAGCTTTCTCAGTGAGTTTGTGAATCCTGAGAATCTTGGTGCCTGTGTCTCACTTGGTGGGTATGTGGGGGCCTGTGGTGGGTGTGTGCACACAAAGGGACTAGAAACAAATGAAAACAAACCAAGGCCTATCTGTGTTGGGTCCCAGAGCCCCCTAATCTGGTGATGTTATCTACAAAGGCCTAGGCAGTGGGAAAGAGGAGACAGCTGCTGGACCCATCAGGAGCTGAGCGGACTGAGAGCCCGAGTTGGTGGGCTCTCAGCCTTGAAAATAATTGGATTGCTAATCACACCCAGAGACACTCCTCCCCGCCCCCCCCCCAGAGCTATATTAGGAATATTTCCTCAGGCAAAAAATGTGCTGTCTTTGGTATCCAAGTCAGCCTCAGGAATTTCATCTTCTGATGGATCTTTGTTAATGTTTGATATCTTGGGCTCATTCCTTGACTTCTGCCAGACCTTTCCTTCAGAACCTCTTGGTCAATGCATAGCTGAGCACTCTCTTGCCCCAAGCAGCTCTCTTGTACTTCCCATTGAGCAGCTCTCTCATACTTCCCATTGAGCAGCTCTCTCGTACTTCCCATTGAGCAGCTCTCTCGTACTTCCCATTGAGCAGCTCTCTTGTACTTCCCATTGATTGTAGTCCCTCTCCCCTAACCCTGTCTTCCAATCTTGTTCTTTCTTCACTCCTTGCTAACAAGACCCCTGGTGTGCCCCCGGGTCATGGTGTGTTCATGACTTGTGAATCCCACATGAATCTCATATGCTATGGAAGGGTTCCAGATACATCTCTATAACATTCTGCTCTTTACTGTTCATTTGCAGCTGTTTAATGATAGTGTGACCCTGCAGGCTCCAGGATGTGCCTTGAACAGGACCCAGCTAAGCTTCTTATAGAACCACTGTTAGTCAAACACCCTTAGACCTTTTTTAACCCATTAATCATTACCATGCCCCCTTATTTCTAGAAAGTGCACTAGACTTAGAGAATGAACCCCTAGACTCAGTTTTTAATCCTTTTACTTCGCAGAGAAATGGCAAACATGCTCAGTCACCTCTGCTCCCCAGCACAAGGCTAGAACTGATATTTTGGTTCTTTTTTTTAAAAAAATTATTTTATATTGGGGCTGGAGATATGGTTCAGTGGTTAAGAAGACTGGCTGCTCTTGCAGAGGACCCAGGTTTGATTCCCAGCACCCACATGGAGCCTGACAACGTCTGTGGCTCCAGTTCCAAGGGAATCTGACACCCTCTTCTGATCTCCACAGGCATTTCATGATGGGTGCACTTATGTACATGCAGGCAATACACTCATATAAGAGTGTATTGCCTGCATATGTGTAAGTGTACCTGTGTCATGCAAGGGCAGCTTAGGGCCTCATCATGGTCTTTGCCAGTTCAAGACTCACTTCCCATGCTTCTTGTCACCTCTACACTGTCACTTCTTGTTGGCCACACTACTCTAAGACGTATCAGAGAACTCAGTCCCCCACTGATGCCAAGAAGTCACCAACCACAGGGAGTACTGAGGGATTTTGCAGTCTGCGT